AAGAAAACTGAAGTGCAGAGAAATTAATTGACTTGGCCTAAGAGTCTGCAGCCAAAAGGCAACAGGACCAGAGTCTGAATGCCAGTAATAAGGCCCCAAGGCCCACACTTCATTCTCCAAAACATCCTTCTGTGTATATGCTGTAAAAATAGGCTGGCCTTAGAGCTGAGTCATTGGTTTCTAAACCACTTGGAACCAGTGGTGCTTACTCAAGCATTTGAGGTCAGCAGAGGATAGATCTCCCTTCCTCAAGTAAATGTAGTACCTGTTAGCCTGACAGGAAGTAAAGAGAGAAAAAAGGATATTTAAAAATTGACATTCATGTACTTGAGATGAAACAGTTATAAACCCTTAAATAAATGCCATAAATATTATAGTAGGTACTGGGTTATAAAGATTTTAAGAAACTAGATAACCTTGTATCTGAGTAAGGTTGCCTCTTTAATTCCTGTCTCATATAGTGATACTAAAGAAATTAAATGTTTAAAAAAAAACCTTGCCGGGCGGTGGTGGCACAAGCCTGTAATCCCAGCACTCAGGAGGCAGAGGCAGGTGGATCTCTGTGAGTTCGAGGCCAGCCTAGTCTACAGAGCTAGTCCAGGAAAGGCTCCAAAGATACAGAGAAACTCTGTCTCGAAAAACCAAAAAAAACAAAAAAAAAAAACAAAAAAAAAACAACAACAAAAAAACAAAAACAAAACCCTGAACTTCAAAATTGAGAAAGCTAGGCAAATACCATGATAGGCTCCCAATAACTCAGTTAAGAACTAGACCTGTGTTCCTGCTTCTTGAAACTGAGCAGGACATTTCTGAGGAAGCCACGAACAAAGGATAATCAATCTTTAATGCCCCTGACAGCAGCTCAAGGTACGCTAGGCCTAACCCAACCTCCCCCACCCCAGCCTCATAGTAGCTCAAGGTAATAACCAAATAAGGACAGAGCCTGGAACTCATCCAGACCTGCCCCCAAATGGAAAAGTCATAGCCTTAGCCAGGCCTTGCTAGCCCTAGCCAATTAGGAATGTACTAACAAAATTGCCATTCACTTAAGTCAATCATAGATAAAATGATCTAACTTCCTTAGGAACTCCCCTTATCTGTGCTTTAGAAGAGCCTGCAAGCTTCTTTTGTGGTACCATTTTGCCTTTGTGTAGGATATGTGACCCCAACATGCTGGTACCTTTATTCTCAAGATAATCAATGTTCTTGTTGATTGCATACATGAATGGTGTTCTTTTGTGGGACTTCTCCAGGACCCTAACAAAAATCATTGGCTCAATGGGAAGCATGATGTTTGAGGAAAATGAAGAAGACAGTTCTTGAGCAATTTTAGGTGCAATATACTAGACCTCCAGTTTGTATTAAAATCTATAACATATGCCACTAGAGTTTGGTTAAAGAAGGTACAAGTCCTAAGGAATGATTTTATCCATTTAAATGAGAAACACTAGGTGTCTGAGGTGAGAAGATTGCTAAAAGTAATTTATCACATTGTTCTGCTTTATCTCTAGTGAAAGATTCATTCTGAGCAACAGCTCATAATTAACTTCCCATTCAAACAGAATTAAATTTATTATACATTATAGCACATTTTGGTAGCAAGACACTGATGTGCAGTTTACACCATCACCAGCTAACAGAAGTTGTAGTAAAGAATAAATAAAATGGATTCCTGTGAGTCTTGACTAAGTGGGTACTTCGTGTTTAATGTGATGGTTATTAATTTTTAAAATTGTTCTTGCCATTGAAAACTCAAGTTAAAAATATAAATTGCAGAAACTTAAAGGTTAAAGTGACTCTTCATAATTAAGAATAACATGGAAAATAAATTTGGAAGATTAACATTTAAAGATAATTGAAACAGAAAATGGTCTATATATAAATATTCAGATCGGTTTGGCTATAAGAATTTAATTTTATTGCCTGTTGGCACCTATAGGATTTAGCTATAGAACAGGAAAAGTGAACATTTCAGCAATTCTATTCTGAACCAGGATTCCTCGAAGTCCCAGGCAGACAGTTGAGTAAAGTGGACGGGTCTCAGGGCACTCGCGCACGCCTATCAGCTAAGAGGAATGAAGTTCACAGCATGTAGTAGTCTCAGACTAGGAAACCTTAGGTGTCTCCAGAGGTCAACAGTCAGGAATTTTGTATGAGATCTTCAAACTTTTAAATGTTAGCTGATGTGCTTTTAGAATGCTCTGGTGAGGCTTACCATCAAGACAGATACAAATAATAATGGATAGAAAAAAAATGAATAATCTGCTCCCCGCCCCAAAGCAGAAAACTAGGGCAAGTATCACACTGACCAGGGGAAACAGGGCTTCAGGGATGGCGTCCTGAATGAATGGGGTATGCTTAGCATCTCTAACTGCTTGGAATAAAAACTGTTCTTAAAACTACTCAACTTTAGTTCAATAGACACTCATTGGGAAGAGAGTGTATCAATCTTCTGCTTCATCACTGTTGAATTTGGAGGAAAATGAGGGAAGTGAAAGCAAGTTCTCAGCATTTTTTTGAACACTCCTAGACATTTGTTAAATCACCAAGAACATTATAAAACATATATAATTTGGCTACAAAACTTATTATTTTATCAGGAGGTACATTAGACTTGTTAATTTGTCCAGAAAGTATATGAGTACTTACTGTGTACCATGTATTGACAAAAACTAGGGCTAAAAGCTCAACAGGACATGTTAATAGTCTGATGGAGAAGACAGGCAAGTAAACAGATGAGTGAAAGGCAGAATGAAAGAAACAGTTATGAGGGTTGGGAAATGCAATGACAATGATGAGCAATTTCCACAGAGGACCAATTCATGGGCTTTATAGGAAGTAGCATTTGAAGTGCAAACAGCAGCTATGATCTTTACCCAGAGATTACTGTACTAGCAGGCACTCTTCTAAAAGCTTTATTATTAAAATATGTAAATCCCAACAACTTTGTGGTACATATACTTTATATGCTTCATATTATCTGTATTTTATAGATGAAATGAACACAAGAATTTTCAGACTAGCAATATTATTATTAGTTTTATTAATTTTTGAGAATTTCATACATGAGCACTATATCTACATCATTAACCCCTCCATTTCCCAACTACTGTATCCCCCTCCCAAATTACTTAATTCTCATCTATTCTATAAATATTATATTTATAGAATTATATTTTATTAATATATTAATATATAATATTAATATATAAATAGCACACATATATACACACAGACACATACATATACACACACATCCTATTTAGTCCATTTGGCTTTGCTCATATGTACACATGTCCAGGAATGACCTATCTTTAAGCTGTACAAAGTATTTGCATTATGTATATGTTTAAATTATATATAAACACACACATTTAAAAACACAGCAAGTGTCTCAACTCTAGTTCTTGTGTTTACTCTTGCAGAGGAAAGGGCACCACATATCTGTATGTACCCTGTGTTCATATGTCTCAGTTCATTTAGATACATGAACCTCAGGTTGCTTCACATCTATTCTTCTATTGCTACCACCCAGTCCTCATGAACTCTAGCTCAAATTACAGCAAATGGTCACATTATTTTCACTTTCTACCCATTCAAATCATTGTAGACCTCACTATGAAAACAATTTCCTCCAGCCACAGAACTGTTTTCCTTTTCTTTTCTTTTTAATGTGTGTTTTGTGGTGGTAGGGATGAAACTCAGAATCTAATGCATACAAGGCAAGCTCTGTATCACATACCTACAGCCCAGCTTCCACAGCTTTAATAAGTTCCTCTTCTCCATCACAGTGCATGTGTGTGGAAGCCTGAAGTTGACATTATTGTCTTTCTTGATTGCTCTTTATTTATCAAGACAGGGTCACTTGCTGAAACCAGAGCTCAGCAATTCTCATGAGTCAGCTGGCCCCAGGGACTCCCACCCTCTGTTTCTGCCTCCTGAATGTTGGGATTCCAAGTGGCTGTTAGACTTACTTAGCTTTAATCTGGGTTCTGGGGATTTAAACTCCAATTCCCATGCTTAAGTAGTGAGCATTTATCCACTGAACCATCTCCCCAGCCCTATTCACATTTTATTTTGGAAGATCGTACTAACTTTTCTGTTTATACAACTTGTATGAAGCTTTCTTTTAAAATAAATTGAAGTTAAAAACAAAAAAGTGGGTCAGCCGGGCAGTGGTGGCCCATGTCTTTAATCTCAGCACTTGGGAGGCTGAGGTAGGCGAATCTCTGTGAGTTCAAGCCCAGCCTGGTCTACAAAGTGAGTTCCTGGACAGGCTCCAAAGCTACACAGAGAAAACCTGTCTCAAAAACAAAAAACAAAAAACAAAAACAAAAACCAAACCAAACCAAAAAAGTGGGTCAATTTAATGTAAAGAATTAAGCATATTCTAGAACAGGTGGTACACAAACATGGTACTGTGAGCAGTACCATTAAAATAAAACTCAGATTGACCAAAGCCTGAGAAAGTCTAGTCAACCACGCAGACCCTTCTGAAGTCACCAGGAGGTCAAGTGTTCCGCTGTGCCAGGCTTCTGTGCTGAGTTACTATGCTTCTTCAGCTGTTTTAAATTTGATAATAGTGATGACTAGCCTGTGTTTCTGAGAGATGTACCACTTCCAGCCTCCAAGCTTCTGCCCATGTAGTCCATTTGTCTGGGGTGCTAGGTCTCCTGTGCCTCCCTGTTTACATGCTTTCCAAATCCACCCACTGCTGTCCCCTGCATGAAGCCTGCAGCTGGCCAACAATAATTTCCCTTTGACAGAGTTGGTGGCCTCTCCTTCCAGTATGCTTCCTTCACAGCTTTGGTGACACTGTATTCAAATAGTACTCTTTACCTGGTAGATGGCAAGGGGCAGGGAGGAAATCCCTGTGTTTTATTTACTTTTAATAGCATCATGGCACCTAACAAAAGGCCTCATACACAGAAAGGGCCCAAAATGAATACCTTGGGAATTAAATTTAATCCTATTTTAGGCAACATTCATGTGATACTTACAATTTTACGCTTGATCATGAAGAGTGGGATTTTTGCATGAAGAGGGGTTGAGGACAGTTCCTTATGGACGGTTGATAAATACAATCTTCTTTTGATGTTTCCTAAATCAGTAATTCTGAAAAAAAAAGACAAGAAAGAAGAAAGATTCCCATGAATTTAAAATACATTTCTTTGGATAATCATCAAAACGATATAATTCATCAAATAAGCCTTTTCCAACACGGAGTTCGAACACAGAATTGAAGAGTTGTCATTTTCTTTCAAGAAGTAATAAAATTTCTTTCTTAAATTCAAATTGCTCACAGGCCTGAATGTATAAATTCACTTAATATGCTAATTTATTTCATCACTCTCCACTAGATTTCCACAGTCCTCCAGCCTATGAAAAAATTCAATTTGTATGAACTGAGAAACCGCTAGCCTTTAATAACCATGCTTGTTCCAGCCCCGTAAGCTGGTGTTACCTTGGGACACACTGTCAGCTACTAAATAGGAAAACATTATGGGTTTCTCTCCCTGAGAGTGCCCCTGTCATTTTACATAGGCTCTTAGTCTTTGCAGAGACAGACATGAAGCACTAACTGTCGGTTTCACTTCCTAAGCACATATCTTCCAACTTGAATTTTAATACACAAGTTTATTGCTCACTATTCAGGTCACCCCACAGTGATACCAAGGACACCAAATCTGAACATTTTTAATAGATTTAGACCATGGCCATGATCACAAAGATTAGGTTTGCTTCAAATCGAGAGAGGCTCATTTTTCTATTCTGTTTCCTTTATGTCTCAAAAGTAACACACCAGGCTGAAAATCCACACACTGTCTCAGCTTCTGTGCCGCCAAGTTGATGCTTTCTTAAAAACCTTACCTTTTATCTCAAAATAAATAGGTTCCCCTACATTAGCAACTTCTCTATGGATGTATTACATGTCCACTCTTCAATAAGTGTCAATTCCTCAAGGAGGCATTTCATTAAAAAACTATTATTAATATTTATAGTGTAATTATTTTTTAAAAAATCAACATAGTGTTTTTTGTCAGGCATGATGGGGTACACCTTTAATCCCAGCACTTGAGAGGCAGAAGCAGATGGATTTAAGTGACTTTGATACTAACCTTATCTACATAGACAGTCCAACCCAGGCAGTGCTAGATGAGACCCTGTCTCAAACAAAACAAAACAAAACAAAACAAAAAAACAACAAACACAAACAAAAATCCCAACATAGTCAATTCTATAGTTCTTCTATGCTTCCCATTCTCTGCTTTTCTAATCTAATTATTACCTATAAAATACCTATAATCTCATTATTACTTGTAAAATAGTCTCTATATCCTGTGGGAAAATAGCTAGCATTAAAAATACTATGAGATGATTTCAGAATACACTTCAGACCAAAAAAAATAAAATAAAATCCATTCCTCTTGCACTAAATGACAGCATCATTTAACTTAAAAATGAAAAAGTTTTCAAGTCATCATCATTTAAAATTAAAATTAGAGTTAAAATTCAACTGCATTAACACTTGTGTGGTCTTTCACATCACTGCTAAATGTAGTCTCTTCTTCATTTCAGCTGCACACAACTGACCTTAAGTGCCAAAATAAATATATTAAAAATTCCATCTCACCCTTTTAAATGTTGTTTTTGTGAATGTTACTTATTGTAGTAGTATAGAAACACGTGTTTTAAAAACGAAAGCACCACTTGGTGGGTAGACATAAATACCTCTCTCATGGTATAGAAGAGTTTGAAGATCAGTGTCTACTAGAGAATCTCCAAGAACATTGAGGCATGTGGGTGTGAGTGAGAACATTTCTAAAGAGACTCAACCGAGAGAGAAGGACTTGCTCTGAATGTGGGCTGGAGCCAGGCTGAGGAAACAGACCAAGGTGGAGTCCAACAGAAATTCAGCAGTCTCTACTTCCTGGCCCACCACGAGGAAAAGTGGGCTGCTCTGCCACATCTTCCCTGCCATGGTAGAAGGACCTTTTGAAATCACAAATTAAATATCGTCCACACCCTCAAGCTGTCTTTGTGAGCTATTCTGTCAGGAACAGGAAGAGAGCAGATACGATGACTGAGTATGTTGAGTAGATCAAATGTTATCATCAGGGATACTACTAAATGATGTCTCTGGTAAGCTGTGCTTGGGGAAGAAATGGAGAATACAAAGACTGCAATGGAGAAGGAGCAAAAAGAGGGGTTGTCAACCAAAAATCCTTGTGACCCAGTTTAAAGGTCTGTTTTGCTTGCAAAGAAGAAACAATGAAATTGCCTAAATAATTAAGGATTGCAGTCCAAACACTGTAATGGCATATGGGATGACATGAATATTCATGTATTTATTGACACATTCAATAAATACTGAGCCAGGTGATGTTCTGGGTATACATCAGTGATGCAAAGGTGAGAAGGATGAAGTTCTCAGTCTGTTGGAACTTCTTTGCTAGTGAAAAAGTATAAAAAGAAACAAAAAAGTTATAAAAAACACAATAAAGAAAACAAGCAAGATTCTAAATAAGATACCAGGAATTTACCTACTTCAGACAGTAGCAACAGCACGGTACGGACCTGAGAGGAAGGCAGGGGCAGGAGGTAGAAGGCTTAGGCAAGGTCCAATCACACAAGGCCATTATACCAAGGTTTATAAGCTTATTGTTCAAAGCAGAGAGCTATAATTCAGCCAAAACTCTACCTTTCACTGTGGATAGTTATCAAAATAGTTATGGTGTCATGTCTATTTATTTATTGCCATTATTTTTATTTATGTGTATGAGTGTCTTTGTGTGCTGAGTGTGTGCACATGAGTGCAGTGTCCACAGAGGCCAGTGGAGGGCACTGGGTCCTCTGGGGCTGAAGTTAGAGGCCATTGTGAAGCGCCTGGCGTGAGTGCTAGGAATCAAACTTGGTTCTCTGCAAGAGCAGCAAACTTTGTTTCTCTTAACCACTGAGCCAGTTCTCCGGCCTTTCTTATTTCCTTATTAGGGTAAAATTTATATAATTGAAACACAAATTTTAGTGTATTCTGGTAACTATATAAATTAGTTTAAATGCCACTCCAATGAAATTATAGCCATTACCCTAGAATGGTCCCTGCTAGACAATTCTCAGTCTGTGGGTAGTTATGCTTCCCATTTCTATCATCTTAGATAATTTCCATTTGCTGTTCACTTCTTACAGGATGGACTGTGCAGAATGGACTCTTGTGTTTGATTCTTTCACTTAATATGAAGATTTTAAAATTTATCCACACTGACCAAACATCAGTAGATCTTTTAAACTGCTGAGTTCTGTTGGGGAATCATACATTTTATCTATTTTCCTACAGATGAATATTTGGACTGGTTTCAGTTTTGATTTTTAGTAAGTCAAACCTGTGTGGATATGCCTGTGGTACCTGCCAGTAGACATGTACTTTCATTTTCTGGATAAATAACTAGCAATGAGATTGTTGAGCACCTGACAGACACATGTTTTCAAAGATACTGCAGTGTTTCTACATTTTCACATGTTTTTGGGGCTATTAGAACTTGAAATTTCAGCCAACCTCAATGGGCAAGAAATAGTTATTATGATTTTATTTGCATTCCCCTGTGACTGATACTGAACATTTTCATATTTGCATGTATGCATACACATGTGTGTGTGTGTGTATGTGTGTGTGTGTGTGTGTGTGTGTGTGTATGTGTGTGTGTGTTTTGAGTGTGCAAGTGCACATGTGCACATGCATGTACAGGTCAGTGGTCAACATTGGGTGTTGTTCCTCAACTGTCTACCTTGGTTTATGAAATAGGATCTCTCACTGGGATGCAGGACTCACTAATCACAACATGCAGGCTGATTATCAAGTCTCACTAATCTACCTATGTCTGCTTCACCAGTATTGGTATTACATGTGCACACCACCACACCTGGTTTTTCTTGTGGGTGCTGGGGATCAGATTCAGGTCCTCAAGTTTACATGGCAAGCACTTTCAATTCAATCTTTGGCTTTTGAAAATGCTAATTTACAATGCAAAAGGATAACTGGGCCATTAAAGGTCAGATCAGCACCCAGAGAAGAATAGATCCAACACACAGTCAATATTGAATCTCTTGACTATGATAATGCTTGGGTAGAAGAGGTGATTTCCAAGGGCATAAGGAAAAACTGAAATGTCAAATGTTTTAATTGTGGTAAACAAGGTCATTTCAGAAGAAACTATAGGCAGGGTGTTCCTAGAAACAATGTTTCTTCTAGGGATGATGCAAACAGGAGGCCCCAACCCTCTGGATTATGTAGAAAATGGGGAAAGGCTAACACTGGACCAATGAAATGCAGATCAACAAGGGATAAGCAGGGCAACACTTTACCATTGGGAAATGCATTAAGGGGCCTCTTGCAGGCCCCCATGTCAAACTTAGTTTAGTCATTCCCTGTTACCATGGGGGAAACTTATCCCCGGAGCAATTAAAGGACCTAATGCCTATGGAAAAAATACAATACTGCTCTGGATGATACAATAGCTTTAGAAATGAAACAAAAGTTCCAGGAGAGACCATAAAATGAATATTTTGGCAGACTTCAATAAATGATTAAAGACCAAGGCTATGAGTGTGAATAAATGACACTGTAATTGAAGGTCTTCTGGACACAGGGGCAGATGTAACTATAACTACACCAGAATCATGGCTTCCAAATTGGCCTCTTTAGGAGTAATGTGTTCAGTTTTTAGGGATTAGAACCTTATTGTAGGTAAAACAAAGCACAAGATGGGTCGAATGTATAGGGCTTGAAGAACAGAGAGGAAAGTTGAAGCCATATGTGGCTAATATAGCAATGAATTTATGGGGATGTGATTTGTTACAGTAGTGGAATATTCAGATTAACATTCCTCCAATCTCAGAAACAAATCATAGACTAATGTACATTTCTGGAAAAAGTATTAAAAGGTATTATAAAGAACAGTCACTGACAATTCAGTCTGTACAAAAACAGGGAAACAACAGCTGTTGATCTTTCAGAAGTACCAACAGCCCTAACTTTAAAATGGTTAACTTACACACCTGTCTAGGTAGAACAATGACCTTTGACATCAGAAAAATTAAAGGCCTGAGAACAGCTGGTA